CTGGTGTGGCGCTGTGGGTAAATGCACCAGACTGCAATGCCATTTAAACTGCAAGGTTGGCAGTTCAAGCTCACCAGCTGCTCCTTGGAAACCCCTATACAGGCTCACTATGGGTCAGAACCGACTCGATGGCACTTCACAACAAACGGACCTTTATCTGTATTTTTGCGCTCATTTATCACTACAGTACCATTAGACCTTTTCTCTATTTTACAGGTGAGGAAACTGAGGTTCAGAGTGATTAGGAGACCCAACACGTGTAGGCAGTGGGGCCTCCAATCCCTGAGGCTAATTAGTGACTCCCTCTTCAAATCCCCTGAAGCCTCTTGCTTATAAAATCTTGGCCGCCTTGAGCTTGCTTTTGACTGTATGTGGAAGTAAGTGTACACATCCACCACCGTTGAGGTGATTCTCATTCATGGCAGCTTTACAGGACACCGTAGAACTGTTCCTTAGGGTTTAATGGCAGCAGACTGCCTCATATTTCTCCAGCAGAGCAGCTGGTGGGTTTGAACTGTTGACTTTTCAGTTAGCAGCTCAATGTTTAAGCGGCTGGGCCATCAGGGCTCCTTGATACTTTGTTATTAGTCATTGTTGTTAGGTGCCCTCAAGTTAGTTTTGACTCATAGCCATCCTATGCAAAGCAGAACGAAACACTGTCTGGTCCTCTGCCATCCTCGTAACTGTTAAGCTTGAGCCCATAGCTGCTGCCACTCTGTCAATCCATCATCTCACTGAGGGCCTTCCTCTTGTTCACTGACGCTTCATTTTTCCAAGCATGATATCCTTCTCCAGGGACTGGTCCCTCTTAACATGTCCAAAGAACCAAAGAACAAATCTCACTGCCCTCACTTCTAAAGAGCATTCTGTCTGCACTTCTTCCAAGAAAGATTTGTTTGTTCTTCTGGCAATCCCTGGTACTTTCAATCTTCTTCCCCCACACCATATAATTCAAATGCATCAATTCTTCTAATTGTCCAACTGTCTCCTGTGTGCTGAGCACTGGCCTATGCACAAAACAAATCACATTCCTGCCTGTTCAAGTCGGGAGCCTTGGAACCAGTATAGAAGTGACTATTTCATTCCTGGTTTAAATGCAGGAAGACAAGAGCAGCAGGAGATGGGAACGGGCTGGTCTATGACCGTGGGGAAATCCCTTTATAGATGGGAGCCAGGCACCGCCTCTCCAGGGAAATGACATTTGGGCACAGACTGGAGAAGTATTCCCAGCAAAAAGAACCGCCTGTGCAAAGGCCCTGAGGCGAGCACGTGACTGGTGGGTGTGTTTCAGCAGTAGCAAGCAGAGCAGAGTAGATGAGGATGGAATGGAAGAGAAGAGGTCAGGGAGGTAACAGGCAGGTTACATGGCCCCGTGTGCATCTTTGGGTCCCTGGCCTGGGACTCACCCTAGCTGACTCTCCACAGAGCGCTAAAGCTGTCTAGTATCTCACAGGGATGAGTGATTCCTCTTTATTCCCTCAGAGAAGGTCTGTATTTGCATAGATATCATTAAGGAGGAGCTGAAAGAGGGATTTGAAACTCAGCTCCATCACTCCCTAGTTGTGAGACTTCTCCATGCCTCTGTTTCCTGTAAAGCAGGGAGAAGAACAGTCCCACCTGTGCAGATTCCTCAAGTCGACTCTCATGAAGCACCTGACACCCAGTGTGTGTTTGGTCCTGTGTAGCCATTACTTTCATTACAAGGATCGTTTTAAGGACTATCTCTACAGTTTGTCAACATGCTATAGGGCCGGCAGTCTGACCAGCTGGAGCCATATCCCACCTGTGCCAACACCATGTGACTTTGAGGCAGTCATGTCCCTTCCCTAAGCCTCAGTTTCCCTAGCTGTAAAATGGGGATTTTAAGCTCTTTTCACATTCAGCAAGCAAGGTTGTATCATCTGTATATGCCAGGTTGTTAATAAGTGTTCCTCCAAGCCTGATGCCACGTTTTTCTTCATAGAACCCAGCTTCTCAGATTGTTTGCTCAGCATACAGTTGAATAAGTCTGGTGAAAGAATACAACCCTGTCACACACCTTTCCTAATTTTAAACCATCCAATGTTCCCGTGTTCTGTTCGAATAACTGCCTCTTGGTCTATGTACAGGTTCTGCATGTGTTCCAGAATACTCATACTTCATAATGTTGTCCATAGCTTGTCATGATCCACACAATTGAAAGCTTTTGTGTAGTTAATAAAGCACAGGTAAACATCTTTCTGATATTCTCTGCTTTCAGCCAAGATCCATTTGATGTCAGCAATGATATCCCTCATTACACACTTCTGAATCTGGCTTGAACTTCTGGAAGTTCTCTGTCAATGTATGGTTTCCATCATTTCTGTATTACCTTTAGTAAAACTTTACTTGCATGGAATATAAAAGATATTGTCAGATGGTTTCCACATTCTGTTGGGTCACCTCTCTTTGGAATGGGCACAAATATGGATCTCTTCCAATCAGTCAGCCAGATAGTTGTCTTCCAAATTTCTTGGCAGAGATGAGTGAGTGCCTCCTGTGCCACCTCACTTTCCTGAACGATTTCATTTTTTATTCCCTCAATTCCTGGTGCCTTGTTCTTTGCCAATTCCTTCAATGCACCTTGGACTTCTTCCTTCAGGATCATTGGCTCTTGATCATATGCCACTTCTTGAAATGGCTGAACATCAACCATTTCTTTTTGGTACAGTGACTCTGTGTATTCCTTTCATTTTCTTTTGATGCTTTCTTTGTTGTTGTTAAGTGCCATCGAGTCGGTTCCGACCCATAGCGACCCTGTACATGCTTTCTTTATCATTCAATAATTTGCCCAGAGAATCCTTCAATAATGAAACTTGAGGCTTGAATTTTTTCTTCAGTTCCCTCAGCTGGGGAAATGCTGAGCGTGTTCTTCCCTTTTGGTTTCCTGACTCCAGACCTTTGAACATTTTATTGTAACATTTAGCTTTATCTTCTCGAGCTGATCTTTGAAATTTTCTGTTCAGCTCTTTTACCTCGTCATTTCTTCCATTTGCCTTAGCATCTCTATGCTGGAGAGCAAGTTTCAGAGTCTCTTCTGACATCCTTCATGGTCTTTTCCTCATCTCTTGTCTTCTTAATGACTTTTGCTTTCTTCCTGTATAATGTTCTTGCTTTCATCCCACAATTCTCTGGTCTTCGGTCTTTAGTGTCTAATGTATTAAACCTGTTATTCAGATGATCTCTAAATTCAGGTGGGATATATTCAAGGTCATATTTTGGCTCTCGTGGACTTGTTTTCATTTTCTTCAGCTTCAGTCTGAATTTGCATATGAGCAATTGATGGTCTGTTCCACAATCTGACCCTAGCCTTGTTTTGGCTGATGAAATGGAACTTTTCCACCATCTCTTTCCATAGATGTAGTCAATTTTATGTCTGTGTATTTCATCTGGTGAGATCCATGTGTATAGTTCTCTTACGTGGTTTTTAAAAAGTATTTGAAATGAACAAATCATTGGTTTTGCAGAAGTCTATCATGCAATCTCCAGCATCATTTTTATCACCCAAAAGCCATATTTTTCAATTAATGATCCTTCCTCTTTGTTTCCAACCTTTGCATTCCGATTGCCAGGGATTATCAATATATCTTGATTGCATGCCTGATCAATTTAAAGATTGAAGAAGCTGGTAGAATTCTTTTATTTCATCCTCACTGGCTTTAGTGTTTGCTGCGTAAATTTGAATAATAGTGGTATTAACTGGTCTTACCTGTAGGCACATGGATATTATCTTAGGATTTAAAATACTTACTGATGAAGATCAAAGACCACAGCCTTTGGTATGGATTGCATCTCATTGTAAAGAAAACAAAAATCCTCACCACTGGACCAATAAACAACATTCTTATCAATGGAGAAAAGATTGAAGTTGTCAACATTTTTCTTGGATCAACCATCAACACTCATGGAAGCAGCAGTCAAGAAATCAAACAACATATTGCATTAGGCAAATCTGCTGCACAAGACCTTTTTAAAATGTTGAAGAGCAAAGATGTCAGCTTGAGGACTAAGGTGAACCTGACTGATCCAAGACATGGTATTTTCAATAACCTCATATGCATGCAAAAGCTGGACAGTGAATAAGGAAGACCATACAAGAATTGATGCTTTTGAGTTATGGTGTTGGAGGAGAATATTAAAAGTACCATGGGCTGCCCATAGAACCAACAAATCTGTGTTGGAAAAAGTGCAGCCAGTGTGCTCCTTGGAGGCCAGGATGGCCACGCTTTGTCTCTCATACTTCAGACATGTTGTCAGGAGGGACCAGTCACTGGAGAAGGATATCATGTTTGGTAAGGTGGAGGTTTAGAGAAAAAGAGGAAAAATCCCCAGCGAGATGGATTGGCAAAGTGGCAGTATCAATGGGCTCAAGTGTGGCCACAATTGTGAGTTTGGCCCAGGACCAGGCAGTGTTTTGTTCTGTTGTACAGAGGGTCGCTATAAGTCAGTACCGACTCGATGGCACCTAAGAACAACAAAATGGGGTTGGCAATGACAGATTTCCCCAAGATTGTCCAAATGATCTGAACACCCACCCAGTGGGAGCCAATGTCTCTCTCTTCCAGCCCTCTCTGCCGGGTCTCTCGCTAAAAGGCAATTTTTGATCAAAGTCACCAGCCCACGAGATCTGTGGAGGTGACACACAAACCAAGTCTCGAATTACCTCCGGGTGGATGACATCTCTGGACACGTTTTGGCCATCGCAGGCTGTGGCCCCGATGGATTTACAGCAGCTCCGGGGGTAGGTATGGCTTGTCATCATTTCAAAGGAGGAGCCCGAAAAATCTGAGTAGTTATTCACCCCACAGCACCTTAGCTGGGAAAGAAGAAACAATTACAGACTCCCTTTCAAATAAGAAAATAATAGAAATCGCGATTACCATGGTTACTGGTAAGTGAGCCGTCACAACATTCCAGCGCCTGTGCTGAATGTCTCTCTCTGCCATCTCATGGGGTTTTTGTCTCCCTTGAAGTAAAAGCTGAATCCTCACTGTGGCCCACAAGGCCCTCGCACTCTGTCTCCATCACCTCCCTGTCCTCACCTCTGCTCAGTCTACCTCACTGGACTCTGGATCCCAGCTGTGCCCATCTTTCTTCAAACACATAGCAAGCTGAAACCTCAGGACCTTTCTATAATGTTCCTGCCTCAGATATCTGCCTGGCTGCCTTCTTCACTTCATTCAGGTTTTTGTTCCAATGTCTCTCTTCAGAAGGACCTTGTCCTGGCCTCTCTTTCTAAATTTACCACAACCCTTGTACCAGTCAGTGTGAGCTAAGGCGTGCGGCAGTAACAAACAGGCCAGCAATCTCTGGTTTCTACATCATTCGTACTACATGCTTGGCATGATTTGGCAAGGGACTTTTGCTTATTTTATCAAAGGCACTCCAAGACCCAGGCTGAGGGAGTAGTCACCATCTAGAATGTTCCTCTTGCTGTGGCAAAGGAAAGAGAATTCTGCAGGCTCTTATATAGATTTACATATTCTCCTCACAGCTCATTGGTCAGAATTTGTTACATGACCCCAGAAGGACTCCAAGAAAGGTCATTCTAAACCAAAAAAATCCAAACCCATTGCACCAGTGAGTCAATTCTGACTCATAGCAAGTCTGAGAAGAATTGACCAGAAGGTTTCCAAGACTATAACCTTTACAGAAATGGACTGCGACACCTTTCTCCCGTGGAGTAGCTGGTGGGTTCAAACCACCCACCTTTCAGTTAGCAATCGTACATTTAGCCATTGTGCCACCAGGGTTCCTTAATGGCATCCTGTTGTTGTCATTGTCGTTGTTAAGCACTGTTGAGTCAGTTCTGACTCACAGTGACCTTGTGTAGAGTTTCTGAGTCTTTAAATCTTTGCGGGAGCAGAAAAGCTTCATCTTTCTCCCACGGAGCAGCTGCTGGGCTCAAATCGCTAACCTTATGGTTTGCAGTCCAGTGCTTACCGTATGGAGCCACCGCGCTCTCCAATGTCATCCTACCGCATGTTAAAAATAGTTGACAAAGCCCTTCTGAGCATTTGCCTTTCTTCAAATCACGTATCGCCCCCAAGAACGATGCTTAGTTACTGACTGATCTCTTGTTTCTCTCACTTGAGTGTCAACAATACAAGGGAAGGATTTTGTTTGGGGCCCTGATGTGTCCCCAGCACAGTGCCCAGCATGTATTAACTGAGGGACTGTGCCAACATGTGATGGGCATGCTTTATCAACTCTAGCATGAAAAGCTAAACCCAGGATGTGGACAGGCATGGTAGGTAGCTCATGGCACCTCCCGAGCCTGAATGAATTCCCACAGAGCTCCCTGGCCAATACTAGAACGTCAAACATGCCTAGGAATGGCCAGCAACTCTTTTTCTTCCATGCTCTCCCCTCACCTGCCCACCCCAAGGGCTGAGATGACCCACAAGGCTCAAGAGTCTCACCTTCCCCATGGCCAAATTCCATTCCATGGAATAGTCGTCTGGCTCATTGTAACCTTTGTAATTCTTCCTCATGGTGGCAAGGATGTGCTCAAAGGCCATGTCTTGAACCTCAAAAAAGAACCGAGCAGTAGTTCAATGATGTCTAAATGACAACAGTGATTCTTTGAGGGGGAGCTGGGAGGTGGGGGCCTCTCTTCTGCTCTGGTCTTCTTTCCTACTCTCAGCAATGGGTCTACTAAAGAGGAAGAGAGACTCAGGCCACAAGAGCCCTAAGACCCGTGCAGGGATGTGTCATGGGTCTCAAGCCAAGCATCTGGTTGTCCTCATCACAAACGCTTTTGAATCATCTGCTCTTTTGAATCGTCCCCACAGCGGCTACACCCACAGCTTGGCTGTAACTTGATTAAGGAATTGAATATCATCTTCAGCAACTGACTCGCTCTGCACACTTCATTTTCTATTTTTTCAATAAAGGTTTGAAAACATTTTTTTAAAACTTCTTTTTGACAAGATAATACAGTTACATGGTTTGAAATGGAAAAAAAAAAACACAGAAAGGTAGACCGTGAAAAGTCTCCCTCCCACCTTTTTCTCCCAGCCAAAAAATTTCCTCCCACTCCCTGACAATGGCTGTCACTGCTTCCTGTGTCCCCAAAGAGATGTTCTATGTGTGTCAAAGCAAAGTCTAATCACAGTATTGTTCTCCTTGTTTCATACGCTCTCATTGTCCACGGGAATCCCCGAGGGGTGCAAACTGTCCATGCGCTTGGCTGCTATGGATGATGGTTCGAGACTAGCCAAAGGCATCTGGGATGAAAGTCGTCGCAATCCACTTCTGAAAAAACAGTCCTTGAAAATCCTCTGGAGCACAGTTCTGCTGGCTTACAGGGGGCACCAGGAGTTGGAAACACCTTGTTTTGGTCACTTGGGTAAGAGCAGATGATGTTGTTGCCCTCTCTATTGGTGACCCATTCCATTGCACACTGGCCTATCTTTCATCTGCCACCACTTGGGGGGAGTCTCTGTGGCCTCTGAGCCCATGTACTCCCTGGGGCCTGCCCCCAATCAATGACTGCTAGGGGCTGATGGATCAGTAAGTACCCCAGCTCCCAAGCCCCTCAGGTGGGATAACAGGTATGTGTGTTCTACGCTGCATGCCAGAGGTCCCCAGGGACTCGGTCCAGTGACCCACAATGTCACCTCATCTTGGCTGCCTTCCCTCCCATTTCCTTCCCTGTATCCCCTATAAATGCTCCCTGAGATCACTTCCCAAATAAACCTCATGCCTTCGAATCCTGACCCAGGGCCTGCATCTACGGGAACATGAACAAGGAAAGTGGGTTATCCTGGAATTCTGCCCATCACAGCCATGGAGCACCACCCCTTCCTTGGTTCCATTGTGTGGCTGTGTTATCACGAAACCAGATCCCTGGGGGTCCTCATCTGGTTGCTTCCAGTCTCTTGTTCTCACGAACAATACTGCGAGTCACACCTGGCACAAATGTCTTTCTGCATGTGCCCCATACCTCCTTGGAGTGTTTCTAGAGTTGGCATTGTTGGATCAGAGTGCCCATACTTTTGTCATTAATGGATTTTGCCAAATAGCCTTCCTTGAGCAGTGTGTTTCAAAACCACAATGACACTCACACACTTTTCCTTCTACACCAAATGCGGGAGAAACCACTCACTTGCCATCAATTATGTGTCAGAGTAGAACTGGGCTCCAGCGGGTTTTCAGTGGCTGAGTTTTTGGAATAATATCACCAGGCCTTTCTTCCTGGTGTCTCTGGGTGGATCCAAATCACTAGCCCTCCAGTTAGCAGCTGCGCACGTTAAACGTTTGTACCACTCAGTGACTCAAAGGCAGGAGAGATGATCTGAATTCACTTGGCAGATTTCTTGAGTCCTGAGGTTTTTAGATTTTCACCCACCTTTGGAGACACCTCCCCTTCCATCACATCTCCCCAAGTGAGACTGCATCACATCTCCCCAAGTGAGACTGGAGGCCTGCTGCCTCCCCAGGGAAGGAAGGGATTCTGCTATTTCTAAAGCTGAGAGGGAGCAGCTGTGTGGTACTTACAACTGGGAAGAAAGCAAGGATCACCGTGGCGACCGTGACTTCCATGAGGACGATGAGCTCCAGGGACAGGAAGCACTGGAAAACACAGGGATTGGGGCAAAGACAGCTGCGTCCCCATACAGGGCCCCATACAGGGCAGGCCCCATACAGGGCAGGGCGCTGCCTCCGGCTGAACTGGCCTCACCGTGAGAAGAACTCACTCAGGGTGTAGGGGGAGGAAGGTTGGAGTTTTTATTTCTTCCAAGTGTGGCTTTCCTGGAAGTGGGGAGACAGAGGGTGCTGGCCAGAGGATACATTTTAAGAGTGGCCAGCTGTGCCTTACTTCACACCCTGGTACCTTCTTCAGTCAGGGGTGTGCGCAGGGGCACAAGAGCAGTCAGAAGAAGGCTGAGAGGAGGATTGGGTGAGAAATTCAGTAATGCAAATGGGGTGGGTGGAGAAGGGATTGTAGAGGAGAATCAAGGTTGGTGGGGTTGGCTTATGTTTCTGATAAATTCCATGTACACGGTGGAAACCATAGGAAATCCAGCAAGCAGAGGGATTGTCCTGAAGTTTCACAGCACAAAGAACCATTTCCCTCTCTGGGCCTGCACAATGTGAGTTGGGGTTCATCCCTCCTCGTCTACCAGTTTATAATACTGTAGTAGGGTGGCTTACGTTGATATTGCATCTCAATGTCAAGAAAACAAAAATCCTCACCACTGGACCAATAAACAACATTCTTATCAATGGAGAAAAGATTGAAGTTGTCAAGGACTTCATTCTTCTTGGATCAACTATCAACACTCATGGAAGCAGCAGTCAAGAGATCAGACGACATATTGTATTAGGCAAATCTGCTGCACAGGAATTTTTTAAAGTGTTGAAGAGCAGAGATGTCAGCTTGAGGACTAAGGTGCGCCTGACCCAAGCCATGGTATTTTCAATAACCTCATATGGATGCGAAAGCTGGACAGTGAATAAGGAAGATTGTAGAAGAATTGATGCCTTTGAATTGTGGTGTTGGAGGAGAATACTGAAAGTGCCATGGACTGCCAAAAGAACCAATAGATCTATTTTGGAAGAAGTGCAGCCAGAGTGCTCCTTGGAGGCCAAGATGGCTAAGCTTCGTCTCTCATAGTTTGGACACATTGTCCGGAGGAAACAGTCGCTGGAGAAGGATGTCATGCTGGGTAAGGTGGAGGGTCAGAGAAAAAGAGGAAGACCCCCAACGAGATGGATCAGCCAGGTGGCATCATTGATGGCGTCAAGTGTGGCAGCGGTAGTGAGGTTGGCCCAGGATCGGACATTGTTTCATCCTGCTGTGCATGGGGTCGCTATGAGTCAGTTCCGACTCGATGGCACCTGACAACAACAACAACAACAGGGTGGCTTACGTGTTCCTGTGATGTTGGGAGTTATGCTACTGGTATTTCCAATACCAGCAGGGTCACCCATAATGCATAGGTTTCAGCGAAGCTTCCTGACTAAGACTAGGAAGAAGGACCTGGTGATCTACTTCCTAAAAAATTTAGCCAGTGAAGACCTTATGGCTAGCAGTGGAACACTGTCTGATATAGGCTGGAAGACGGGCCCCTTAGGCTGCAAAGTACACAAGATAAAGCCACACAGTGGCAACAGCAATGGTCTCAAACAGCAACCAGTGTGAGGTCACGTTTCATTTTGTCGTCTAGAAGGTTGCTATGAGTAGGAATCAACTCAACGACACCTGACAATGGTGATGAGGATGCGGCCAGTTCAGTTCAGGGAGTCTCAGTGGTTCCCGGTGCTTCTCTCAGGACCACATGGGAGCAAAGCCAGGTCAGCTCTCCGCTGCCTTTGACTCATCCCTATTCATGTAGCTCCGATATTACTATTATTAACATCTGAGAATTCCAGCTTCTGCTGTTGAAAGAAAAAAGCCCTGAGTCATCAGACTGGCCAAGGGCTGAGTTTAGTCCTCCTTGCCATGGAGCCCCCCACACCTTGGGTTGCTACATCCCACGTGAGCAAGCATCAGTTCAGGACCCCAGACAAGTGGTTCGTGTATCAGAGTGTGAGATGCCAGTGTGTGCTGTCTGTTCCACCTTCAGATCTAGCCTGAATCCACTCACTCCTCATCACCTCTCTGGTCCAGCCTTTCATCTCTCACCTGGACCAGTGCAGCCCCTCAACCCTCACACTGGCTTCTGCCCCAGGCCCCCACAGTGTCCAGAGGGCACCTGTGCACACCTGAGTGAGGGCACGTCTCTTCTAAACTCACAGCCAACTCGGGTTCCCAACACCATCAAAAGAACTTTGCTTTTCTGAGTGCAGTCTCAAAAGTTATGGAGGAATCTGTCTAGGCAGGACTGATTAAAGGAAATGCAATAGGTCTCTTGTGATACAAGGGTGAATAATTGTTACCAGGACTGATTGTGAAGGTTGTAAATGTAAAAGTAGACATTTTGTGGCAAGGAGGGGAGTGATTAACTTTGCAGGCTGGGAGCAGAGTTCCCTGGAACCATGAAGGGAGAAGAGCAGAGAGCAGAAACCTACCCAGAGAGGCAGTGATTCCTGAGATGGAGGCAGAGATGATGGCGTGGAGAGATGGAGCAGCTGGGGACTCAGGACCCAAGGAGGAAGAGGTGCTGTGTGCTGATGGCGGGGGGTGGGGAGAAGCAGGATGAACCCTTTTGTTGATTGGTGATGCATGGAGGAGATTGTAACGTAACCATGGCAATGAAACAATGTACAATAGGATGAATGTAAAACTGATGTTCTCCCATGCAGACTGTCACATAATTCACAATAAAACTTTAAAAAAACAAAAAACAATGTGGTGATTCCTCAAAAGAAAAATGAAAGAAAAAAAAGAAGTTATGGAGGGACAGATGTTGAGGGTAACACTGATGGAATCTGTTGATTTATTGGATGTGGGATGTGAGAGGAGTCTTGGATTACTCCAAGTGACTATATGGATAAAATAGTACCTACATTTTCTCCAAGATAAAATGAAATATTACAATAAATGTAAGTAATGAAGGGAAATGAGAAATGATGGAGTCTAACGGAAAAGGATGGTGGGGGCAGCTGTGCTTTTAACAGTTAGGATCTTCTATGTTTGGGGAGATGACAAGACTAAGGATCTACTTGGATCCTTGAGAAAAATTGTGTTTATCAGCAAAGGAGAGGAGGAAGGAAAACGAAAAATCTTGCCTGGGGTGGGGTAATAAGATTCTAAGGGGTCCTTCTAATGTTGTTGTTGTTGTTAACGGCCATTGAGTTGGTTCCAACTCGTAATGATCCTATATATAACAGAACATAACACTGCCCTGTCTTGCATCGCTCTCAAACAATTGCTACGTTTGAGCCCATTGTTGAAGCCACTGTGTATACCCATCTTGTTGAAAGTCTTCCACTTTTTTCATCGATGCTCTACTAAGTTTGATGCCCTTTTCCAAGACCTTGTCTCTCCTGATAACATGTCCAAAGTATGTGGCATGAAGTCTGGCCACCCTTGCTTATAAGGAGCATTCTGGCCATGCTTCGTCCAACCCAGATTTATTTGTTCTTCTGGCAGTCCATGGTATATTCAATGTTTTTCACCAGTACTGTAATTCAAATGCATTAGTTCTCTGGTCTCCATTATTCACACACATATGAGATGATGGAAAATGCGATAGCTTGAATCAGGCACACCATAGTTCTCAAAGGGACATATTTTCTTTTTAACACTTTAAAGAGGTCTTTTGCAGCAGATATGCCCAATGTAATACATCGTTTGATTTCTTGACTGCTGCTTCCATGAGCACTGATTGTGGATCCAAGTAAAAAGAAATCCTTGATAATTTCTCTCTTTTCTTCATTTATCATGATGCTGTTTATTGGTCCAGCTATGGGGATTTTTGTTTTATTTACACTGAGTTGTAATCTATGCTGTAAGTGGTATTTTTTAATCTTCATCAGCAAGTGTTTCAACTCTTCTTCACTTCTAGTAAGTAAGCAAAGTTATGTTGTCTGCATTTTGCAGGGTGTTAATGAGCCTTCCTCCAATCTTTATGCCACATTCTAGAAGTGAAGGTCTTAGATCCAGGGAAAGATTGATGAAAAGACACACTGGGATCTCCAAAGAACGCTGGGCCTGCATATACTAAAAGGAGACAAGGGCTTTCTCCAGAGCTGACCCTTTTAATTGGGACGTCTAGTCAGAAATGGCTGCAAGCATACATTGACAGAGAACTTTCAGAGGTTCAAGCTGGATTCAGAAGAGGCCGTGGAATGAGGGATATCATTGCTGATGTCAAATGGATCTTGGCTGAAAGCAGAGAATATCACAAAGATGTTTAC